CCGATAAAAAATATTCACTGCACAGCGATAATTACTGTGCGCGCGCTAGTCATCGCTGTTTGGATAGTAATCACAGCTGCGCTGGACAGTAATCGATTTCACAGTATTCAGAGCTGCGCCGCGCAGTACTTAGAGCTGCGCGCGCAGCACTGGTAGCTGTTTGGAACGCTACTTATCGCTTGCACGCGCAGCAGTCTCTGTCTTCGCACAGCAACGTTTAATTATTTCATTAGAAACATTATTTATTTCAATTATGTATATATATAGGATTAGTTAATTTGCGTATATAGATTAAATAATTACAATAAATGTATGTACATTGAATTTTTTAATATTTAAAATAATTTTTTATTTCCAATTTATGATGATTTATTCAATTAAAAGTAATTTTTATATATAATAAATAAAACATTTATTAACTTTTCAACATTTTTTCAATTCTCTTTATTGAATAAATTAATAATTTTTTCCGACCTCAGCAATGTTATTTACATTTTGAACTTAATTTTGAACTTGCTAATGAATTGTTTTTGTCAATTCATTATAAATATGTATAAAAATACAAAAAAAACAATTTGTGCTTCGATTTATCAGCTCAATAAACATTAATTTCATTAGCAATTATTTTTCATATACAATCTAAAAGTTAATTTCTTTTTGTAATAGTTATTTTAATTAAAAATAATTACAATAATTATATAAAATACAGAAAGATCCAAATGCATTTAAATCATTTAGTGTACTTAGAAATAAATTTTCATTTTATGGATGTCGAGTAATTAAACAACTCATTTCAAAAGTTCGCACACTTATTTATAAAGATTACATTTTATCTCTTTAAATTCCTTTTCTTAATTTTTCTAAAGATTTTTATACATTGAATATGATTATTTGAATTAAACATACAATTTGCAACATAATAATTTATTCAGTATACATGTACTGAAAAGTACAGATATAAAAATACAGATGGAAAGTACAGATATAAAAACATAAAGCAAATGATTAACATACAATATTATCATATAAATAATACAAGTCTGAGCAATGCTTGGAAATGCGCAAGTCTACTATAAGTATAAAAATATTAATTTGTACTATTTTTCAAATCCATCTTTTCGGAATATATGTGACTCCTTGATTATTGTGAGTAATACGCGATACTGAACAGGAGTTCAAATCTTGAATAGTTAAGCACCGCCAAAGTTCGGTGTCGAGTATACACATTCATGTAATCTGTATGCCTGGTAATGTTCATCGAAATATGTATAATTAGTTACTTTTTTCGTAATTAAATACATATTTCGAGAACAGTCTTCTATAATAAGGTGAAAAATTGGTGTTCCCTTTCGTTCGGCTACATAAGCACAACATCTTTTTTGATAATGTGATTTTTAAACTTAATGAAATTTAGAACTGAAACTATATCTGCTAATTGGATTGGTAGAAACATTGAATAACAATAAAAATCTGATAGTTCTCGTGCTGTCACAGTTTTAGAAAGCCCACTTTTATAAGATTTTTCGTTAACGGAAGTATGCAATAGTATACGGCGACTCAATCGTAATTGGGATTTAATTGCAAGTGTCTTGCAAATGTTCAATCGACTACCGGATACGTGAGATGTGATTTTGAAATCTCGGTTTTTGCTTTCACATCTATTCGTGGATAAATGACATAATGGGCCCATCCGCCTCATAGTATGCGCATAATGTAATAAAAAATGGTGTTTTGGTTTCAAACATTCTGGGAACAACAAAGTAACTAACTCCAAATATTCTTCGATCAAACTTTCCAAATGGTCTGCCAAATCCCCATGGACCACAGTTGCAGTGATAATATCCAATATTTCTTTCAATACTATAACAATTTTCCAATGCTGATCATCAGTCGGAATGTAATGCCCGATCAGGAGACCAATATTTCTCAAAAAACAAAGCATTTCGCTAGTAGACATTTTTATATGTTTGTTCTTTAACTTAATCATATTAATTTCCCGAGGTTTGTTGCGGATTTCATCACCATAATAAAAACCGTTTATTTTATTATTAAGATCTTCACAAGTGAAGAATTTTTTTGTCACGACGTAGTGATACAACAGCAATCCTAAATCGTATTCGCAGATACCTTCCAAAATGTCATGCATAATGTCAACTGTTATAAGATTAATTGTTGATGAACTAGTCAATTTACTTAATACCGACGGGCCAGCAATACCTGTCAAACTAGGTTGATTCATGGTTAATAGTTGTAAGTAATTCTCTTCTGTCCGCAACTGGCACATTGATGTTTTTAATACGGAATTTATCTCGCTGTTGTTTATCAAACAGACTCTACACGGAAAATTGGCAGAAAAACTTTTCATAAATCCCAAAATTGTATGAACCGCAAGATTATCACCGATTACTCCCGCTAATGAAAAGTAAACATCAACTAAACCAGATGATGTCGAAATTGAGATTCCTTTTTGCTCTAGAAACTGTAATTCTTCCATTGCTTTTGCGAAAATGTCATGTAAGGAAACATCCATTTGATCTGAATACTTGTACAGTGTTAATAAAAATATATTTTCTGTTTTTGATTGTATAGAAGGAGGTAAACACGGTATTACAATGTAAACACCTCCGATTTTTCCTATACCCCTGTGAGTTCCCAAGGGATTGTTAGTTTCAAAATCATCTTGATAAAGTAGCATTGGCAAAACTAATCTGTCATCAAATGATTCCTTTTTTAGTTTCCAATTATCCGCTTGAATAATATTTGATATTAACAAATTATATTTGTTAAGACTGTCATTATAATTCATTGTTTCTTGAAAAATTCTCGGTTGTTCGAAAAATTTTTTTAATACATTTCTCAATGGGATGAATTGAATCGTTATCTTTTTCTCTATAGATACTGTACCTTTCTTTTTACCAATAAGAACATCCTTGCAATTAATTTTTATTTCTTCGGGAGGTATGTAACTTCCTATTTTTTTGAAATACTCCAAACATTTGTACTCCGTTTCAAGTTCGTCAAATGGTCTTTGCAATTTTGTAATCATGGCTTTATAAGCGGCAATGTTCTCTTGGGACTCACCAAAATTTCTTAATTTCTCTACCATCTGGTTTAGTAGCGTTGTTATAGCACGATCTTTCAGAAATTTATTAAAATTTTGTATAATGTTATGAACGTGGGAACGTGGCAGATCTGCAAAATAATATAATTCGCTGACTAAATTGGCGGCAGCTGTATGCAAACAATTGGAAAATAATTGGGGGTCCATATTTATCATAAATTTATTTTTTCCAACACACTTGTTAGAGTAGTAAGTGTTCACTTAGACAAAGTGTGTAAGAAAAATAATATAAAAGTGAATACCTGTTGACTTTACATATATTAATAAATAAATTGAAAAATGGAACAGTTCTCATTTTTTTCTTAATCAATAGTTGTTCCTAACTCATTTTCGATAAAACTTAATACTTTGTTAACTTGAATCGATAGTTTTTCCCCAGGAAGTGAAACTTTAAATAATATTTTTTGAATCAATAGCCACACGTTCAATGTTGCCTTAGGATATGAAAAATCGTAAACTATATATATTTTAAATGCTAACTCAAGTGCTTCTATAACTGATGGTACTTCGTATCGAGCTCTGCCAATTATGGAGTAGTATCTTTTAGGGCTTCTTATCGATCCAACCACTGGTATAAATGGCTTAATGCTTCCTTGATTTGATTGTGCGTTGATCACAGCGTCTTCTAAATTCGCTTCCGTCTGTTTAAAAATAACGTATATCAGAATAACAGATGGAAAAGTATAAGTGTGAATATTTGAACTTTTACTTACGTCAACATGTAGGATGAAAGATTGTCGTTCCTGTTGCTTCAATAATTTCTCTTCCACTGATTCAACTTTTCGACGTTTAACTGTTTGTTTCTTGCTCAAATCTGGATTTTTTGAATTAAGTGCTTTGATGGCCGTTGGTAAAAGCATTAATAAAGCCACATCTTTTTCATCTGAACATAGCAATTATTAAATGTATGAATAAGAAAATGTAGCATTTGCGAGTGTAACTTAAAAGTGACTCAAAGTTACTTATTGTGTAACTTAAAAATACATTAAATTTCATGAAATTTTTAATAGTGTATGTGATATAAAGAGCAGATTTATTTGTAATGTATTAATGAATGTATGTACCATCTGACAGTGTGGACAACTCGACCAGCAAAGTTTCAGCCTCTTCTCCTCTAATTACTTTTGAATTAATAAATTTTTCTAAGCACTGTCTCAAAGGCGGCCAGACCTTCTTCAAATTATTTAAACTAAGTTGTCTGTTGTCGAAGTCTAAATTGACATAAATTATAATGAAACATATCGTATAAGATACTGACAAATAATTTTTAATATTAATGTTAAGATATTTTTATAATTTCATATAAAAATATTATATTACAATGTACTAACAAGATCCGATCCACGACTATCATAAAGACAAGGGAATTCATCGAAGTACAAAATTCCTGACTTTTTTGCTTTTTTGGTTACGTTTTGCCTTACAAAAAAAGTTTTCTTCCACGCTTCTACGATTATATCCCAGTGTTCTGTGTTTTCGCGCAATACCACAAATTCCTTTATGAGATTCTCTAATCATTGAAAAAAATACATTTCATGAATGGCAGTTATAATAATGTATCTGTTCCTCAGCATGAATTCAAGTTTCAAGTAAAATGTAATAGTTTATGAATAGTTATTCACAGTTAAAACGTTTCAGTAAATTAAGAAAATTTAACAAATTATTACAGAAATAGCACACCACTTGTAAGCGATGAATTACAAATTCTTGTTTTAGGAAATTGCAACGCTCCAGCCTCAATCAATATTTTTCGAATGTAATTTACACGAGATAATAATTTCCCAGATGCGGGGACTTTTAGATCTTCTTCTGTTCGTGCAGGAGTGTAGAAAGTTGCAGAACGTTCATGAAACAAATCTTTAATTTCATTTGCGAGTTTCTGTAAAATTTCTGTCGGAATTCTGAAATTATTTTAAATTTATTACAAATGAATCTTGCGTACTCTATTAATGTGAATCGATGAAAATCACTTATCGTCAATCACTCATCATTAATTAATTTTCATCATTAGTTTTTCGAGATAATATTTTTCGCAATAAATAAATTTATTTTCAGATTTATATCATATTAAGATCTTTTTAATAGATGTTTATTGAGCATCAAAATTTAATTGTGATGTTATTTCAGTAATTCATCTGCATTTTTAAGTCTGGTAAAATTTCAGCGTGTAGTTCGAAACAACTACAAATATGGTATATATATTGTATATGCAATGTATATATATAGTATAGTTTATAAAATTCACATTGAATTATTTAAGCAATTTTTAGTATTTTAACTAATACTAATTAATTATAAGTTTTCCGCTGATTTTTTAGCTCAGTGATTTTAACCGATCCAGATTAAAAAAAAATTTATTGTGAGTTATATAGTTTATTGTATATAAAAATATATTGTGAGATATACATTAATTTTTGTAAGGGATTTTGCAGGGTTACTTGTTTTTGGTTGAAGATTATTGTTAATTCACGATTCACAAGCAAATGTGTCAAATTATTCATCATTGCGTCTGACAAAGTATTATATTTTTTAAAATGAATTAATATCAATTGTCGTTCAAAGCTGCTTTTCAAGAAAGATGACAATTCTTGGCGTTGCGGTATAAAAATTGCAGAGTTTATTATACTCTCTACATTTTGGCATTTTGAACAGACAACGTTGAATGATGACATTTGGTTTTTATCAAATATACTCGACACTGATTCTTCGGAAGTAAATAAATCATTAACCTCATTATCATCAAACGTAATGCTTGTAACATTTTGCTGGGAACTATCTATTTCGACGGACATTGCTGTAAAAATAAACATAACGGAAGACTTATACTTAAGACAATCTTAAATATAAGAATCGACTATGAATACCGGCCAAATATTCTAATTTTTATGGCGTTATTTCATAATGAGGAATGATAGGTTATAAACATAGGTTATAGGCTGTAAGGCACTTACCTATAACTGTTGAAGATTGCCGATGATGCAAATCTTCTTTGGCTCTTGGATTGTTGAAATAATAATAAAGTCACTTTAATAAGAACGTCGGGAAAGACTTTCAATGACAAGTCCATATAATCGTATATTGTCGACTGTGTAGTCAGCCGCCGAACGCGCCCAAATATCGTCGCGCAACAATAGTTGCTCTCCGAAAAACAGAGACTACTGCGCGTGCAGCTCTGAGTACTGCGCGACGCAGCTCTGAGTACTGTGAAAACGATTACTGTCCAGCGCAGCTGTGATTACTGTCCAAACAGCGACGACTAGCGCGCGCACAGTAATTATCGCTGTGCAGTGAATATTTTTTATCCGTACAGTAATCGGCGCTGCGCGATTTAGCGATCATCGCTGCGCAGTTTTCTCCGTGTACCTTCGGCAATAGTAGGTCGGGTGGAAGCGCGTATTCGGCTATCTTTAAACGTTAATATCTCGTTAACTATTGTTGACACCGCAAAATGGTACAGGACTTTTCGATTCAGTATAGTCTGTTCTACCCACGCACGAAACATTTGTTGGTAATTTCTAGACACCCTATGTGAGTACACTGCCCGTCATTGATCGCCCTGCTGTCCTAGCAGTAGCTTTAACTTCTCTATAATTACATTATAATTGGATCGCTTATTAAAATTTGTAACTT